AGCGACCCCTAGAGGACGCAGTGTCTCGTTCCCTACTCAGGGAACCATGGTTACATAAGTAACCTGAGACGTTTCATTGGTCCTCCCTCATTCAGTAAAATTAAAATGTCACGTACAATTCTACGACTGTGTACTTCAATTATGTAAGGATCGTAAAGTAAGTAAAAACAATAATATGATACTATACGCATGTACTTTAATCACAGTGATTGTTGTGTAGATATTTATTACTTCAGGAATTCTGTGGTAATTGGCAATATTTTGAGTGGTATTTTGATATTCTTTTGTTTACTGTGTGTGTGGGATTTTGCTTTTTCACTTATTCATTTATTTGAGTAATTAATGGATTCATTTCTTTACCACATCTTTGGCCTGGGATGTGTGTGGATTATAGTGGAGTGGAGGTGGAATTATTAATTTTGTTTAAAATGTATTATCTCTACCTGCATCCTTACACTATATCATATTTCAATGTATTAGAAACAATATTATTTACAATTTTGTTTTGACATCTTCTGAAACTGCCATTACATTGTGCATTTTGTGGCAGTGTTATAATGGCATCAGATAGTAATGCCATGGTACATTTACCATGATACTGAATGATTAATATATTCATTCATGTCTATAAAAGACAAGGAAGTATCATGGTGCTTTTTGGTAGTGTGTAGTTGCTGTCTGGTTTAATACATTATTACAAAACACTCTCTGCCTCCAAAAGACACTCTTTCTACAGCAGCCAAAATCATCAACATACTTCAAGAGACAAAAGGTGTTTGCTAGTTCAATAATTTCTGTTGGGCCAAAAGTCTGGGCATTTCAAGTGGTTTTATAATTAAATTGGCTCTCTTAAGACAACTGAAGACAATGAACATGTTGACACATGCAGAATGTTACGTTTCTAGTCCTCTTTGTGTATTATAATTTAACCCTAAAACTGGCAACATATCCTGTGGGATACAAACATTTGAGAGGCTGTGGGGAGAGGCAGGGAAAGTGTAGGTCTCATTTCTTGGTTTCATGTTGAAAGGGTGTTTGTTGTGAATATTTAGATATATTGACTTTGTTCATACATTCTTTGTTTAGCTCACGGGCAGCATTTAAAACCGCATGGCTGCCTGTAGTGGGAAATCTACTCACCCTCCTATAAAAGTTGATCTAGTTCACATATTTACACAGGTTGGAGAGGACTTACCTGTTTAAAAAGATGTTGTTTCATATTAGCTTATTAGGTTTACATTGAAATTTTATTAATTAAATCACAGGAAGCACAATTTTGGTGATATCAACATCAAATTTGGAGCATAACTTGGTTAGACGTATGGAGTGCAACATATTTTATAAAGTATTTATTTTATATACAGTTTAAAAAAAATAGTATACTGCATTATCTTTACTGCAAACTTAAACTTCTACAACTTTTTTATACTTTCTTTTTTTGAAATGCTTTCACTTTAGCAATAATCTGCTATGTGTCTTTTTTAAAAAGAGACCAACTTTAGGTCTGTATTCCAAAGCGTTCAGAAATTACAACCATGTTGTAACAAGCATTGATAAACAAGTGTTCTGTTTTCAGTTAATTTATATCCCCAAACTGGCAACGTATCCTGTGGGATACAAACATTAAAATCAAAATTAAAGTCATGTTTTTTTTTTTAAATGATCAAGTTGCATTATTTGTGTCCCAATAAGATGGAAAATAGCAATAAATACATTTTCTGATGTCTCTTTATGGTCTTGCCATTTTTAGGGTTAAATAGCTTTTTTATATAAGTAAATAGAGTTTTCTGTTCAAGAATGGTGGATAACATCATTCATATCTCTGGTCTGAGTTGTGAGCTACTTTATGGTAACATAATTCATTGCATAAACCCATCTAATCATTCACTGTGAACAATACGGTGGCCACATTTTTTCAAGGAGGTTGAAAGAGCAGCTGAGCTGACCCTGCGAATTGCAGCCAAAGGCAAGTTCCACAGACCGATGCGGAGTGAGATGGACATTGGTAAGAGACCTGGCAATGATGCCAAGTGGGTCTCTCCTTTTCTCCTGACCTGCTGTACATGAACTGTGCAGAGCCACAGCATTTCAAAGTTACCATGGAATGAAAATGTCAGCATGCTTTCATTTTAACCATGATAAGGCTTCTTATGTATCTTTAATAATGGTGCGCTACCAATGAGGTTTTTGCACATCTGAGGTTACCCTGAAACTTGATATGGATGATATTTCATGTCCCCATGAACATTTCTGTGGAGAGTTTGTAAGGTTTTTTTTTGTTTTTGTTTGTCTGTTCTGTATAGCAGAATGCCTGCTGTTTGTTTCATTGATATCTCAATAATACGGAATGGACTCAAAGACAGTACATTAAAATTCTCAATATGCGCTACCAAAAGCCCACATTCCCTACATTCCCAGCACTATTATGATTATTTCTGGTTAATGGTGCAACTGAAGAGCAATTTAACAGAGAATGCCTGTTGCGCTTTAGCAGTGGAATTGGCTTTGGAGATAATATTGCCCTGAGCACAAACTGAATTTGAATAAATCCAACAGTTGGCTTCAGCTACAAACATCAAGAGTCATCAGGTCTCTGCCAACCTAAAACTAAAATCATAAAAATGTGTTTGTCAAAATAAAATATACTTTATATAATAAATATAAATTAATCATATTAATAATAATTTCAGCTATTTGCAAAGGCAACATTTCCATCTTCATTTAGTTTAACCTGATTTACTAAAACTAAAATTTTAATATTTTATAAAAGCTATATAGACATATTAAGTAAATGAATAATGAAAACATCAAAATTATGAAAAATAATTCAAATTAAAATGGAAACAGAAACGGAAAACATGAAAATAAAAACAATAGTCAATTAAAAATATAAAATTTTCTCTATGATACTAAAATAACTACTGTCTGCCTGATTAAAACAAATGCAAATACAGGATTGCTCGAACAACAACATAATGACAACAGCTTAGTCAATTTGTTGTAATTCTATGCCACTGAAAGTCAATTGATGAATCTATCAATGAAGATTAATATATCATTATCAAATGACCTGCAGTAGCAATCCATCTGGGAAGGGAGGGACTTCATACTGTTTAGCCAGCAAGAGCTAGCAATTAGCCTATTTAGACTTATAAACATTACATAAACATGTCCATAAGTCAACCTTTTGTATGTCTGCTTCATACTTTAAACCATGGCAGAGACTCTAATTTTGTGTCATAGAAAAAAAAAATATATGAATGCTTCAAGAAACCTACCTGCAAAGCTACAGTATTGTTAAAAGTTTCGGCACTTGTGTAAAAATGCTGTAAAATGAGGATGCTGTCAAAAATAATGTATAATGTATCATTTAAAATAAACATTTGGTGTGACCACCTTTTGCGTTTCAAGCAGCTTTTGGTTCTGCTCCATGTACACTTGCACATCGTTTTTCAGGTAGCTTTGCAGGTAGATTTCTTGAAGCGTCTTGGAGACATTGCCACAGTTCTTCTGGATTTAGTCTGTCTCAGTTTGTTCTGTTTCTTCAAGTCATTCCAGACAGACTGGATGACGATGAGATCAGATCTCTGTGTGGAGCACTGGCTGTTGACAGACTCCTTGTGGCTTGTGCAAGCAAAAATCTCACTGGATTATTACAATTAATGGCAAAATGAATGTTTAGAAATGTAAACCGATATTTCCTACTGACACATTACAGCAAAAGATAGAAATTACTGACTTAAACCCATTTTTTAAGCTTGTGAAAACATTACTGTTGTAATAATTTTGGCCAACACTGTATGTCACAGCAGTTAAATCTGCGTCTGTATTGCACGTTCAAACCTTAACATCATTCATATTAACAGGTTAATAGTTTTCCCCAGAAGTATTATTATAGTATATTGTATTATTAACTAAACCTGCTAGATTTTAGTTGACTAAATCTACTGTATATTTAGTTGACTAAAAGTAGACTAAAAATAAACAATTCAGATGACTACAACTAAATGGCATTTTAGTCAAAAGGCTATGACAATCAAAATCAAAACTTGCTGTCAAAATTAACACTGGATTTCTGTGTCTTTTTACAGAAAATCTTAGAAGTGATATACTGTATTTATGTTACAATATGTCAAGCAAGAAACAGAAAGATCTTAGTTTAGGGACCAATTCTCACTATTAACTAGTTACTTATTAGCATGCATTAGGATGCATACATATTGGCTGATTATTAGTACTTAAAAAGCACATATTAATGCTTTATTCTGCATTAACATATTCTACATCCCTTAATCCTACCCCATACCTAAACTTAACAACTACCTTACTATTAATAAGCAGCAAATTAGGAGTTTACTAAGGGAAAATGTAATTGGTCCCCAAACTGAAGTGTGACTTTTTATTTTTTACCAAAGTGAATCATTTTAGCTGTGTGTGATGCTTGGGTCAAAGGTCAAAATGTCTTGCATCAAAATTCCAAAATAGCACTTGCAGGGTTCTATTTGTGGTCTTATACAGACTGTAACACCTAAGGAGAAGGAGAAGGAGAAAATGTGAAATTACCCTACTGATGCATTGCTGCAGATCAATTAGTCCTCTAGTTCCTATGGAACCTTTGTGGGGCTACAAATTATGGTCTGAGGTGCAATATGTTTCAAGGACAAAGGACAGATCAATTGGCTGTCTGGGAGTTGGAAATCACACAGCCGACACAGAAGCCGTGTGGTGCCGAGTGCATTATAAACCCGAAAGCTGTAAGGCGCCAGCTTACAGAAGCCCTTGGGACATGTCCCGAAGGTGTTGTTAGCTGATTATCCAATTAAATTAATTCAACAGCACATATTTAAACAATAGCGAGGCACTTTGTATCATGCCTCATATCCTTAAAGTGTTTAAAAGTCAAGGTTGAGACTCATTTTTTTGACATACAGTCTTAGGTTATTTTCAACTTCCAGCAACCCAGAAACGTGGCTCCATATGACACAATTAATGTTTCTTACCTCAAGGTACACCACCCAGGGCATAACTAATGTGGCCACGAGAAGATCTGCCACCGCCAGGCTGACAATGAGGTAATTAGTGGTGGTCTGCAGCGCTTTCTCTCGGGAGACTGCCATACACACCAACACATTGCCGAAGACAATGACAAAGATGAGGAGAGTCAGGAGCATGGCATAGTAGTTATACTGATGCTTGGCCTCACAGCTTGTGCTGTTGAGGGCCCCGGTCCCGTTGTCATAATAAGTGTCATTGTAGGGATACTCCGTGAGGAAATCCATGAGCTGTGGCCAGGGAAGAAGCCTGAAACTGAGAGACATAATTCAGTCAGTGAAGCTGCAAACATGGAATGAAACCAAGCAGTAGTACGCCAACACAAAGGAAAATGTTATTGATCAGAGGTTGCTCTATCATATCTCAGCAGAGTTTTCGGTTATGTTTCATTTATATCAGACGTGTGTAATTTAAAGCCCATGTTCATCATCAAATGGAACGAAAATTAGGATTGTTTTCAAACAGCTTTCCCAAACACTCCTGAAGTCTTAAGTGTGAGATATTGAATTGATAATTCTCACCTTTTTCTTGCAATTCTGAGTTTATATCTTAAAATTCTGACTTTTTTCCCCCCCTCAGAATTCTGAACCTACATCTCATAATAGTTTATATCTTGCAATTCTGCTTTTTTCAGTTTCTGCCACAGAATAAAAAATAGGGTTACACTTTATTTTGATAGTCCACTACTAACTAGTCCATTCTACTAACTACAAGTAATTTTGCAACTACATGCCAACTAATTCTCATTAATTTGCAACTACATGTCTACTAACTCTCAGAGTAGACTGTTAGGTTAGGTTTAGGGTTAGTAGAATAAGTTATATACTTGCAAAGATTCTTATAGTCAGTATGTTGTATGTTGTGGACCCATCATTAAGCAGTCTACTAATACTCTAATGACTGCTAGTTGACGTGTAGTCGCAAAGTTACACTATTAGTAGAATGTCTAAAGTGGACAATCAAAATAAAGTGTTACCAAAAATAGCAATTGCTCCTTTTTATCTTACAATTTAGAATTTATTTCTCACAATTTTTTTTAAAGTTTTTAAAGTTGAAATTACCTTTCTTAATTTAAGAAAGGTTTTAGTTTATATACGGTTCACATCTCAGACTTTTAATAGCATCCATAATAGCATCATAGCATTTCAAGTTTGTGATGTTGTCAAAAACCCTGAAAAAAAGGAGGCATGATATTTCTGGAGTCTTTTTCTCAGGACAAAAATGAGAAACAAAAGTCTTCATTTGCATTTAATTTCACTGTGTCTAGGATAAATAACTGAGATATTAAAGAGATCTCATTTATGTTTTTTTTCCCCTTTCTACTGGAATCTGTTTAAACCGTGGAATGGGAGCAGAACTAAACTTAACAGAATTAATGGAATAAACAGTCGTTTAATGAGAGATCATTTATAGTCACACTAAATATTTTGTGACTGTATGAGGACAGATTCAAATTGATACAGTAACAAAAGAGGCGAGACTCTGAGGAAATTAAAATTAATGAGAACGGGGAATCATGAGCACTCTTGCACACTGTGGGTGACACTGAGCATTGTAAATGAACAATCAGTACAATCACAGCATTCACCTTACACTCACACAATCACACTCATCTTCATTTCCTATGTATAATATTTGAGACACACACATTACAGAAAATATCTTCTATCCTTTCTCCAATTTCTCCTCTAAGCTCCATAACATTGGACAGCTGCTGAAACATGATTGATTTTTCTGTGTGAATAGCGGCATAATAGCCGTCTTGTATTGATTTTGAATTTACACAGCAAGATCTATTCCTGCTTGAATAAAAAAATCAACATCTCAAACCAACAGGAAATAGCAGCGAGGCTGAGAATACAAGCTACTAAAGCTTAGGGACAATTATCATATATATTAAAAAATATATAATATTTATTAAAATAATGTTTGAATTCCTCCATGAAATAAAAATATACCATTTTCTTAGTATGTCTGGGGCTAATTATCAAAAGGGAAATTACGGTTGTCATAAGTATTTACATCTAAGTATTTATAAAGTCAGAAATTCAATTAAATAAATTTTTGCTTTCTCTAGCAGTTGTTTTGTATGTTGGTTTTAAAAAATCTAGTTCTTAAACTAGCAAATGTAAATGTACTAGTAAATTTCTGTAGATTCTTTGCTCAAATCTAAATATAAAATTACAGTATCGTTTTATTTTGCTATCGAATTAAGAAACATGAACACAATAAAACACTAATATACATTAGAAAAGAGACAACTATATAATAAAGGATTTTAACTGTAAAGTTTTAAGGACAATTTTCACTAATATGAGGAAAAATTAATCCATCACAATTTCACTCTCTCTCTCTCGCTATATATATATATATATATATATATATAAAATAAAGACAAAATGTTTAATATATATATACAAAATGATAACAGAGAAGACAAATAACTCCCAGTCCTTCAGTCTGTTAACAAACTATAAAAATATATGTAAAAAAGACAAAATGTTTATTTTTACCTTTCACTTTTTTTTTTTTTTTTTTTGCTGTTTTGTGAATTGTTTTGTTAATTGCTGTATATTTTGCTGAAAAGCCAATAACAGACTATTAATATGCCCAACAATACGCCATATAGAGGGACAACACTATTGTGAATGTGTCAATGAATATTTAATGAACTTTTTCTTTCTTGAATTTCAAAAATAGTCCAATGATGAGAAATATGCATTGGACTATAAAAAGTATGAAACTATACTGCTGGTTAAGGTGTAAACCAACACACACCACTCTCCTGAATCTCCTGAATTAGACATGCATTTTGGTGTGGAAATTAAGTCTGATCTGTGTTCATCCTCAATCAAATGCTTAGGACTTGTGAATTACATTTTATCTAATCCAGCATGTCACCAACCTCCTCGCGTTCATCCACTCTGTTACACAGGTTTTCTAACATTTGCCCTCTTTAAGTCTAAAGCATATTGCTGTTAAGCTTTAGAATATTCAGCTTCTGATTAAATCACTGAATCCTCAAGAGAGTCATCATTTTATCTCTTGTTAAACTCAGTCAAATCAATAATTAAATGCTTTCTTGTGATGTCAAGTCACTCACAAATGATAATAGCAAAGTCTAGTGAACCAAGAAAAACACAAATGTTCAAGCATCAAGGCAAAATAAAAATAAATAAATCAATATATATACTGTATATATAGTCCTTCATCCTTTTCATTCCCATAGAAAGAAAAATTAAGACAAAATTACAAACAAAGAACAGAGAATAAAACCAATGGCCTTTTACAGAAACAGTCTCCCTGGTCCTTTTATAGCAACAATCTATATTCGTTGCCCTCCACCCTTACCCAGCATCACCTCTGTGAATGTGTGTGTGACACTGGCGCCACAGACTCAATGGAGCAAGTGAGGGCCGCTGATTGATGCAAACTGTCTGACAAAATGATGTCTGTGTCAAACACAGCAGGGAGGATCCTCCATCCAGCTATGACCCAACAAGAATCAATGAATCACTTCAAATGACTGTCTTCCCTTTGCTCAGGATTTTTTATCTGAATCGCTTGTCTCACTTAAAATCCTAAATGACTAGGATGTAATTTGTATTTTAATTTTAATAATGTCTGTTATTAGAAGAAAATAAAGTTATTCAGTCATATTCAGTCAAAGATGTTTACAGAGTAGTTATTTCTTGTTGTGCCAGTTTATAACATATTTTTAACTTTAATATTTCTCAGTAAGTTACTGACCCAAAAATATTAGTCACATTTTATTTTAAGGCCCATTTCTCGCTATTAACAAACCACTAAATCCAAAATTCTGTCATGAAACTCTAGATGGCGCAGTCCGATAGGTCTAACTCAGTCTGACATAATGATATCATAATTACATGCTGCTCAGTTTTCTGGCCAGCAGACCGCGGCTGGCAGTTTAATGCTAGTGCGGTCGAACGAATAAACGACAATATAAAAAACTTAGTCTTGGTGCATGGAATGTGTGTATTCTGATGAACAGTGACAATACACTTAGACCCCAGAAGAGAACAGCACTCTTAACCAGGGAACTTGCTCAGTATAACATTGATTCCCTTTCATGGGAACTTCGAACTGCGTCCTCTAGGGGTCGCTATGGGGAACGCCTCGTCGTGACCCGTGTCTGAAGCATACATTGAAAAAACACCAACTCGTTGGCCGGCGACAGCCATGACGTCACTACCGGTGCGACTATAGTATAAATAGGCGCCGGGAGCACACATCATTCTCTTCTTCGTCTTCATTGACTGTTCTGTTTGAAGCGTGCATTTTCAAGGAAAAAGTAAGAGCTATCTCTTTTCATCATGGCGAGCACTAGCAGAGCATTTAGAAGGTGTGTGCATCCGTGTCATCGCTATTTGACACCAGATGACACACACGATCTATGTGTTGTTTGTTTGGGCGAAGAGCACGCACGCGATGTCCTCGAGGGGGCTAAAGAGGGGCTTTCCCTCTCGCGCTTATCGGCGGCGGGCGAGAGAGAGCCGCTGGAGGAGGATGTTCTCTCTTTAACATTATCTGATCCAGGGGCCAGTGCTCTGCTGGGTTCAGCCCAGGAAGAGCAGGAAATGGATGAAGAGAGCGAAGAAGCTCAGGCTGAGCCTTCTCAATCCTCCTGCCCTGCGTATGATGAGCTCTTAGAGGTTATGGATCGCTCTTTCAGGGTGCCACGAGAACCCCTAGAACGGTATTTCAAGTGTGTGCACGTTATGCTTTGCCCACTTTTCTAAAATCCTGTACGGTAAGAGCTACGCGCAACAGCTTCGTGCTCTTTCTGAGTGGTTTAAAACCCCGGTTCCGCCTTGGGCACCACTCCTCCTATGTATCCTCTGGATACCTACTTTAACAGGGTGTTGCTACTAGGGGTCTGTTGAGACAGTTCCTTCAGCACATACAAAGAGAAACGTGCGGTAGCCCCTGTGTGACAGGCCAAGACTAGTATGATTCTAGGCTCTTGGTCGTATTCCCTTAAAGGAATCTATTTCTGATTCCAAGCCTTGAGCTCTACCCCGGGCCCAGGAGTCTGGCCCTAACAGGTAAGTATTTTGGGGTGTGTAGCCTAGGCCTTTGGCCGTAGGGAATAACGTCACTGACAGCCGTCTAACGTCCCAGGGGCAACTCCCATAGCAATATGGTAGAGTTGGTACTTAGTGCTCGCCATGGTTCTGGCTTGCACTCCCCTCAGTATGGTGGCGTGGGTATACCGTTCCCCATAACGACT